TATTATCGTGGCTTTTATTCTGTGATATGTACATAAAGTTTATTCACGTTTTATTCCCAGTTCTATCCGTATTGTCGACTTGTGAATTACGTATATTGTATTTTAAAATCCATGCTGCTGCATTTAGTAACTTTAAATATAAAACGATAACTAACGGTTAACCAAATACATTTTCAGAATCAAATTTATTCAAACTAAAAACTCGGACATAATGCCATAAATTGTTGTAAACTATGACAAAAAATGTCATAGTTCATTATAATTACGGGACGTTTATGGTATTATGTCGACCTTTTCCAGTTCCTAAATTAAGATTAGAGTTGTACTAACCCGATTTAGAAGACTTAATCTGATCATTGTTGGTTGTGTTACACCCGACGATCAGATAACAGATATATCGATAATAAAATAGTATGATACTTACGAAAATGTATGGATAAATGTGTGAAAATCATTTTATTACGTAAAGTTTGTAAAAGAAAAATTTACCGAAATTATTTTTTCTATAATTTGTTATTACCCTGACATGAATGAACTCGAAAGAAAATTCTAAATTTAGTATAATTTTCTGATATGTATTTGTCTGAATATGTACAACTCTACATTACTGAATATTTTTAATAAATAGACATAAGCTTTTTCCATTAAATCTTTCTTTTAAACAAAAATGTCTTTTTTTTCGTTTCTTGAATCTATTCCAACCATATCTTCAACTGTGCTAAAGCATTTTACCGAAGGCCCACCTAAAAAATCATGGAATCTAAAATTTCATTTAGCGGTGTCAATGACCAAAAGAGGTTTTAATTGTGCAAACAAACCTATTGAACAATATCAAAAGGAATTTGACAAAGCTTTCAGCAAAATTTTCATGGTTCAAACTCCTCCTAATTTAACTATAAAAGATGTTATATTAGATGAAGAATATAGGCAAAAGAGTAAAACGCATTTAGAAAAGATTTTGAAACAATATGATGATGTGTTAGACGAGAAATGGAAAGATCCATGTGATAAAGGATTACATGGGGAATGGTTATGTATTAACGAAAAAACTGATAAAACTGATCATGTGGTTTTATATTTGCATGGTGGTGGATTT